CAACTGTTCGAGCCGCAAACATGTCTGGCAGCGGGGTACGCCAGCCCGAGCTATGCAATGCCCGGGACATCTGATGCTAACACGACCCTCAGGCACGAGAGGCCGTCTTCGCGACGCGGCAGTCGCTGGGTCTGATGAAGGGCAAGCTCAAGGGCGCCCAGACCGGCCACGACCTGCTGAAGCGAAAGAGTGAGGCCTTGACCAAGTATGCACTCGCTGTCTCCAGTCCACTCGTGAAGCTTTGCTGACCATGTGCAGGCGCTTTCGAGGTACGACTATGCTATATGCACCCCCACCATCTGCCTTTGTAACTGAAACCGTTTCCAGAAATAACGCGCCGTATCGATGAGGCCAAGCGCAAGATGGGCAGGGTCATGCAGGTTGCGGCTTTCTCCCTCGCCGAAGTTACCTACGCCGTCGGCGGCGACATTGGCTACCAGATTCAAGAATCCGCAAAGCAGGCCCGCTTCCGCGTACGAACGAAACAAGAGAACGTCTCCGGTGTCTTCCTCCCGCAGTTCGAAAGCTTCACTGTCGAGCAGAACAACGACTTCGCCCTGACGGGTTTGGGCAAGGGTGGTCAGCAAGTACAAAGATGCAGAGAGACGTACGCAAGAGCGGTCGAGACTTTGGTGGAACTGGCTAGTCTACAGACTGCCTTTGTCATTTTGGACGAAGTTATCAAGGTGGTCAACCGCCGTGTAAACGCCATGTGGGTATCCTTTCCTTCCAGACAACTGCCGAAGCTAATAGCCAACAGTGAGCACGTCATCATCCCCCGTACCGAAAACACCATTAAATACATCAACTCTGAGCTTGACGAGCTCGACCGAGAGGAGTTCTACCGCCTGAAGAAAGTGTCCAACAAGAAGCAGAAGGATGCTGCCGAGGAGGAAGCCGCGAGGGTGGCGGCGAAGCAGAAGAACGAAGAGACAGAGAGTGAGGCGCGAGAAGATGCTGCCGAGAGCAAGGACATGCTGGGCGACGAGGACAACGAAGATGTCATCTTCTGAGCGCTCTACAGGCGACTAGTAGGGCCCGTCCGTGTAGTGTCGCCTGCGGCCCATTGGGCGCTGAATCCACCTCTCTAGCTCTCGCTCGCCAACGTCTCGCATGTAGACATGCACCTTCCAGAATGCTGATACGGAGTCCTTGGTCCAGGTTCCGTTTGGCATCCCGCGCGGGGCGTTTTCGACCAAGCTAAATAAGAGATAAGCATTGTGCCATTTAATGTGAACGTTGGCCTTTTGATAATAAGACTCTATTGTGCCGGCCTGTATCTGTGCCGAACAAGGTATCATAAAATGCATAAATCCATAGCAATAATCCATACGCAGTAACCTACTGTTGCCGCTGGTAGGTGACTTTCATAGGCTTGCCCTCTGCGCCGATCGGGGTGTTGGCTGTCGATTCTTTCGCTGTAATCGCAAACTGCTCGTTCTCGAACTCCGCAAAGGCCACAGCCCTGACCGAGACCAAGCGCACTTCCTTGAAGCCTTCGAAACGCTCGAAAATCGTCGTGAGGTCGTCCTCGTCGACATCGCGGGGGATGTTCTGCAGGAAGAGCGTCTTGTTGGGTCGTACGTATTCGTCGGGAACAGCGGCTGCTCCGGTTTTGGCTGCGCGAGGCTTCTCGGCGGCGACTGGGTTGGCTTGCGCTTTCGCGTCTTCTTCGGCGCGCTTGAAGTCTATGGCAGTCAGTACGGAGCACCCTCAGAAGTGGTAGGAGATGCGCACCCCTAAGCGTCAGGCGCTTCCGCTTGTGGTCGTCGAACAGTTCCGGCGCCTTTCGCTTGACTGTCTCGTCGCTGTGTGTCTTCGCCCTGTGCACCTTCATGACCTTGCCGTACATCTCGAAGCCGTTCATTTCCTCCACAGCCTCCAGTGCAGCCTTCTCGCTGTCAAAGACAATAAATGCCTGTCCCTTCCGCTTCAGACTGCTCTTTGCGATAACATCCAGGATCGGACCGTAGTATTGGAAGACCCGTGTCAAGGCTTGCTTCATGGTATCGATCTTGACGCGCTCCTCGAGGTTGTTGACCTAGTGCTGTCAGCAATCGCGCCACCGAGTGCAATGTGAGTGCGTTGCTGGCGCGCTCGTGGTCCAACTCACGTATATACTATATTTCTCCATTAGCATCAAGGGGACCTACCTTTTGGGCATGATCTTGCACTTACGTTTCGATGGGCACTGGGTATTTGCTGGGGTCTACGAGACCGCCGCCCATTACTACGCCCTCCATCTTGTCCGCCATCTTGAAGCGACTGTTGTGTGGGTAGTGGAGTTGTATGGCGTGGTCTCACTTACCCGACGAAGCTGTCGGGAGCTCGAATTCGAGATCCGCGCCAAGCACGCTAGGCTGCGTCCGCACGTGACGACGAACACCGGGCCCTGAGGAGTTTTGCACCTGCAGACAGATATTCAAGGGTCGACATACAATATACCTCCAACGTCTTGAAATTCGCGAAAGCTATCACTTCTTGTCACTAAGCAGTCTGACGCTATTATCGCTTCTCGTAAGTTGTAAGAGCGTTATGGATGACCGAAGGTGTATGATTTGAGCCACCCCTCATTATGCATTGAGCGCGTTGTTCTCTTGCTGCTGACAGCTATTGACTCTCCCTACCGATCACTGAGGCACTTAAAAAAGGCGCTTACATTCTTCATCATGAGTACTGACGTCAGCATGCGTCTGAGCTGATGAGGCTCGTGCGGAAACTTCTGCCAGATGCCTTTCCAAAACTGACAAACATCAATTTTGCATCTCATCACGTCGTCGATTTCCAAACTATCTTTGCAATGCCATCACCAGGAATACGATGGCGATCGCACCCATTGTTCATAGTCTTCACTGTGGGAATGGGTGCGTTCGTGGACCTTTTCTTGTACGGGCTCATCGTGCCAGTACTGCCGTTCCTGTTGAAAGACCGCATCGATCTACCTGACTCTCAGATCCAAAGCACGATATCGAACCTCCTAGCAGTCTATGCAGCAGCTTCCTGCCTGTCTTCACCCATCGCAGGCTTCCTAGCCGACAGGTTGTTTTCGTCTCGGAAGCTGCCTTTCCTCCTCGGGCTCATTCTATGTTTACTTTCGACCATTCTTCTAGCTCTCGGGCGGAGCGTCGCCGTTCTGGCCATTGCACGATTTCTCCAGGGAGCATCGGGAGGTGTGGTGTGGACCATCGGCCTTGCTATCTTGGTTGAGACAGTAGGCCGCGAGAACTTGGGCAAGACTATGGGAACTATCTTCAGCTTCATATCGGTTTCCACGCTTGTCGCACCTATTGTCGGCGGTTCATTATACGCGAAGACTGGATACATAGGTGTCTTTGGCGTGGCAATAGGGTTGATTGGCATAGACTTCATTTTGAGATTGCTCATGGTGGAAAAGAAGGTGGCTGAGAAATACTCTACTCCTGAGACACATGCCTCTGAACCGGATCGGAACAATGAACAGCAAGACACGGAACAAACACCTCTTCTACCAAACGGTCCCTCTACGCTCGATCAATACCGCCTTTCCAAACCAACAAATCGCTTCACCCGCAATCTTCCCATCCTCATGCTGTTTCGTCATCCTGGCCTGCTAACCTCCGTATGGATTGGATTTGTGCAAGCTCTTCTTCTTGGTTCTTTCGACGCTACTGTGCCGTTGGTAGCTTCGGAGCAACTAGGTTTTGACAGTCTCAAAGCTGGATTGCTCTTCCTACCACTGGGCGGTGCGGATTTCCTGCTGGGTCCAGTCTTTGGCTGGTGTGTCGACAACTATGGCACGAAGCCGGTATCAGTCTTTGGATTCATTTGGCTGATACCAACGCTTGTATTACTCCGACTTCCGACTGAGTCGAGTATCATCGAGAGATTAGACAACAGTCACATCATCGCACTCTATTCTGCATTGTTAGCGATGAACGGACTCGGCCTGGCGGTTATCAACAGTCCTAGCATTGTCGAATCTGGGACTATCGTCGAGAATTACTACAAGGCGAATACAGACATGTTCGAGCAGGCTCCGTTCGCCCAACTCTACGGCATCAACAGCATGGTGTGGAGCGGCGGGCTGACTGTAGGCCCACTGCTGGCTGGGTATCTACGAGATAAAATTGGGTACGGCAACATGAATGCCGTGCTTGCTGGTATCTGCGCATTCACAGCAGTTTTGGCGGCGCTCTTCATCGGTGGTAGAGAAAAGGATCAGGACGCGTCTAGCGAGAACGTAGAGTAAACTTCGTTTTATATTTTCGATTATCATATTGTAGCATTATTACACCTCCACTCGTTATGCAGCTTGACCATCGTTCAGACACTCGAGCTGATCAGCCACGATGTCTGCTGAAAAACTTCATCCTGCCGGCCGACGCTGATGACTTAGGTTGGAAAGCGCGCAGACTGATGGAGCTAGCGCAACGTTCTAGTTCTGACCGCAAGTACAGTCGTCACCCGAGCCACTGAAGTTCTTTCCACAATATCCACAGCGGGGACCGCTTGTATTGCGGGTGGTAGTTGACACTGTAGTATTTTAGCAGGAAGAAAAAAGCAGTAGAGCTCTTGATTTACAGTACATACTGGCTATTTTCGTTGTTCTAAGGTTGATGGATAAGCTGTATGTTGGTGCTTTTGGCTGTGCAAGTGGTTCGACGATGCTGGTACTATATGGTTGTTGTGGTATTGTGTCTTTAAGAAGTTGTGGTGTCGAGGAGCAGACCGATGCCTTTTATACTGCATAGTACTTGTAAAGACTTCCATGTCACTTTCAGGGACCCTGGAATCTGGCAAAAGACTTCAAAATTTACAAGAGTCAGCGGCTACCACTAGAGCGTAGTATTCACGAAAGACAAGTGACTGCAAACTGACAGCTGCAATGCATGGAATTGACCAAATACCATGGTAGATTCTGGACGGGCTCTATATCTGATTTGGATGTCAAAAGCCTGGGGTGTTATTCAACTGGCTCTAAATATAGCTGCCTGACTCTCTGTGGTGCTTTCTCATGTTTCTCATTGCTTCTCAAGATCCTTCAGTACCCGTTGTGTAAGCTCATCGTTATCTTCCTTTGAAAAAGGACGCGAAGGTCGCTCCATACTATCCCCAACAGTCTTGGGTATCCAACCTTCTAGCGCGTCGTCACTTAGCTCCAAATTTTCCCTCACAATCCACCGGCGACGAATCTCCGCGCTGATACCGGTGTTCTGCCTGGCGCTGGAGTCAGCGATGAGATGCACGGCTTTGACCAGCTTCTCGGAAGCTTCTCCGCCTGAAATCATATGGCGTGTCTTCTTTTTGAACATGAGATAAAAGTCCAAATGCTGGTTGCAGTTACCTAGTGAGATGTCTTTGACAGCTGTTTCGAATGCTGAAGGGAAGAAGCCCGCCATCTCCCAATCGATGATAGCAGCGAGATCGTACAGCAGGCCATCTTGGGCTTGCCATCTTCTTACAAGCAGGTTTCGTGGTTCCAGGTCGTTGTGTGAGAAAACCACGTTTCCGTTGAGGGTTTTTAGATCCTGCTCTGAAAGGTGGATTTCACCTAATGCTGGTAACGCGGATTTGATGATAACACCGTCTCCGTCTAAGGACACCTCTATGCTGGAAGTAGCACAGGTTGGGTCTTGATGCTTAGCGATAAATAATGTGAGGAACTCGCGAATATCCTTAGCGAAACCAATTCTTGCACTGCCGAATTCAAAAGCTTGAACAACATTTACCGGACTTGTATCGGGAATAAGCCATCGAGCGAGTTTACGCGGCTCTCTGACGTCTTGAATTGCATCCATAGCATTGACAAGATCATCGACCAAGAACGACTTTTGCGCGAGATCAAGGGATGGCCAAACAGATTCCAGCGTCACAGTGTCAGTCACAAACTCAGTAACCGTGTAATCCACATTCTTTTTGTCTCCCGTTACTGCCTCCCCAAAAGCGAGTTGTTTGGGAACATATGTTCGAATTTGGACGGCGGCTGCCTCTTGAATAGCAGAAACGATGGCGAGTGACCCACTTGACGCGTCAATCCGGACGATGACAGCGGGGCTGTTTTCAAATTCTGCCTTGAATGTGCAGTTGGTGAAGGAGTTGGCCAGTATATCGATTGAAGTTGGTTGCGATTCAGGGAAGATTGTCGAAATGACGGCGGCATCAGGAACAAGTAGACGATCATCCATCTTCTAAAGGCTATGTCTGCTGAGGTAACGGAGGAGAATGTATGTCGTGCGACAAGGCGGTTCTTATATCGTGGCGAAGCCCCAGTGACCCACGTCATAAGCGTAGCTGGCGTGTTTGTCTGCCCCTTCTGACCTGTCAAGCCATTTGTTTGCTCTACACCATGCTAGGTACCCCAAAACCCATATCCTCAAGAAAGGCCGATGGGTCAGCAAAACTGGCCCAATCATCGAAAGCTGCGAATGAACCTGATGCAGATGTCGTTAAAGCCTCGACAGGGGCGAAAGGAGCTGCGTACGATGCCTGAGATATGTCTTTATCCGTTGGCCTAGCCTCAAATGGAGGCTTGTATGCTGTCGGTATGTTTGACGCCAAGCACGAGAACTTTGTGTCATAGAAAGACTTCGCCCACTTGATCTTCGCAGACCACTTCGCAAAGGCTTCGTTCTTCAGGTTCAGGCTATCAGGATGCGCCTGCGATACAGCATCGTACCGTCGAGAAGCCTCGCCCAGAAGCGTCGAAAAGTCGACGAATTCTCTGAGAGCTTGAACATCCCAGCCGTCCATCTCTATCAGACTTGCTCGGACAAGCACAACGAATATGTACGCAAACTGCGCAAAGACGCCGAATGGAACAACAAGATAGTCCTCGACGGGTAGTTCTAGGTATATCTCTGTGTACTCTTTGGCCGCGTCCATGCATTGCCACATTCCGTCTAGTCGCTGCCGTAGGTCCGTTTCCTTGACTGTGTGGGTGGCGAGATTCCCGAATGAGCGTTCCCAGATCGCGGTTCGGGTACAGGCTTGCTGCAAACGCGACACTATCGCCGTCGCTGCGTTTCCAGATGCTAGCGCAGCCCTGTCGAGGTCGCTCAAGAATGATTTGGCATACAGTTGCACTGGAGCATGCTCGCAGTCGGTAGCCATGGCTTCTTGCATGATGCGCTGGCTCTGCGCTAGCTGTACGAGCAGAAAATCGCTTTCGTATTCTCGAGCTTGCTTTAGTACCTCGGCGCAAGCTGTATGCCATGGAGTCCAGTTAAGGTTGTCGATCTTCCGGAACGATGTAAATATCTGTGAGGTCAGATAAAATGTTCCGAGAACTGCACGTCGCTCATCGTTCGTTACGACCTTTGCCGGTTGTGGCACACCGTGCGCTTGTGACGCTGCCATCAAAGCCGCCTTCTCACAAAACCCTGGTGCGCGATCGATATCCAGGTCATGAGTGAGCGCCATGGTAAGGTGTAGAAGTACTGTGTGACTTGGTGGTGCGAAGAGATGCGGGTTATACCAGTTTCCAATCACTAGCATACCCTGTAACAGGTCGAGTGATTTCTCACCGTTGATCAACACCCTCTCGGAGATTTCTCGTATGAGGTTCTTGACCATGATCTGTTGGGCTGCTGTATCATGGAAGAAAGCTACTGTTTTGATGGCCTGTAACAAGAACGGCTTCTTGCTGACCAAGCTCGAAACATCGGTACCAGCTGGAAACACCACAAAAGGCATGTGAGGTGCCATTAGTCTCTGGTAACGATCGAATAAAATGTCCGTGTTTATTTCGTTCATCTGAAGCATCGCGTCGCGAGCAGGAGTAGTACTACCGACAGATCCAGTAGTGCTTGGAGTCATGGTCAGTGGTACCTCAAGGGATTCTTTTGTCTGCCGTAAAGCAGAAGTATGCACATCCGACTTTGTAAATGCCTCTGACGCTTGCTTGTTGGCCAGAGCTTCGGTTATGTCTACAAGCTGTGCCTCGAGATGCTGCAATTGAGCGGACCGTCTACTTACAGTTTAGCATCGTGAACCCGGACGTTGGATGCCGCTCGAACTTGACTCACGTTATTGTTTTTGCCCTGCTTCTGCGTTTCGTTGGCTCACGAGTCTGGCAGATCTTATGAAGTCGTGTACATCTAAGAATATGTTAAGCTTTTTGAACTCGTTCAAGATAATCCCCCGGACTGATGACTCATGCTAATTGATCAGTCATGCTGTAGTCACTAACCTTTCGCAGTTGCTGCTCTCAGAACGCCTCACACATTTGCTCTTCGCCTTCGCACAGACTGCACACGATCCATGCTGTGCATGAGTCGTGTTTTGCGACGTGGCTGTTACTCCTTCAGATTCTTCGTATACTGAACTCATTGCGACTAGGATGTAGCAGTAAAGTATTGAGAACTCGTAAAGTAAGAGTGATGATGAGGACGACGAAGTTGATGGCAATAGGTAAATCAACATGGCAATATCTCCGTCCGTCTAAACTCCGAAATCTGCAGTATGACAACATCAATCTCGGCTCAACTTTCAACCGTTCAGCAGCTTCTCATGCGCTCCTCCATATCTTTTACCTGCAACGGGAAATGTCTCCTGAGCTTTTCGAAGGTCTTCCATATCCTCATCAGTCAACTCTAACAGCTTGCTGTTCAAGGTAACGCGTTCGATGTTGGTAGACCCTGGAATGGGAATCGCCCCTTGCCGCGCTACCCAAGCGATAGCGACTTGTGCCGACTTGAGGCCTTTATCCTGGGCAATCTTCTCCACGGCCTCGGCAAGCCTGTAGTTCTGATCAAACACTTCAGGCCGAAAGCGATCGAACATCTTCGGGCGAAAATCGTTGGGCGAAAGATCATCGAGCGACTTGAAACTGCCCGTGAGCCAGCCTCGACCGACCGGACTGTACGCAATCACAGGTATCTCGACTATATTGGTGTTGTCAGCGTCAGATCTTCAAAGCAAATTCTTCCGCGGAAAGACATACGTTCAGAGCATGCTTCCATGATTCCATTCTGAAGGGGATCGGGTGTGAACAGGCTCAGCTCGATTTCTACGGCTGAGATCGGGTGAACGGCATGAGCTTTGCGAATGGTGTCTGCATTGACTTCAGATAGTCCAATGCCCCCGATCTTACCCTCTTTAACCAGCTCGGCCAAAGCTTTGATGGATGTTTGAACGGGCGTGTTGGGATCGATGCGTGCTGGCATTCCATCAGTTGTTGCTACAAGATCAACTTGCCGACGTGCTCATACCCATCTCGAAGATATCAATGGATTTCGCGCCCCCTAGCCCTTCCAGAGCCTGCTCAACAGATGCGCGAATGGCCTCTGGGCTGCCTACTGGGCCTGTTCCATGATTGAAGGCGCCCTTGATGTTGACGACAACCTTTTCAGCATCCTCGGGGTATTTTTCGAAGTAGTGGCGCATCAGATGTACGGAGTTTGACTCCGGCGTGCCATAGTGAAGACCTCCGTTCCATAGGTTTGCACCTTGGTCTAATGCGGTCTTCAGCAGACTGATTTGATGCTCGCGCTCAAACTGAGGAAATGGAGCAGGAAGAGTCAAGCCTGGAGAGTCTGCTGTCAGTACGTTGCGTCTAGAATGCTCAGGCAGCGTGGGACGGACCTAACATTCCGAGCCCGACAGGGCCCACTGGCTTGCCACACACGCGTGTAGCTGCTGCTCTTCCAATACTCATGACGGGCGATAAATAGTAAAAGAAGCCTTGCAGGCTGTCAAGTTCATAGTAAGGGACGATCTGATTGAGATAGATGATACGTATGGCTGGTAACAACGACCATGCTCTTATAGCTTTATTCTGAACGGTGCTGCGAGCCACAACACCGTCCGTCCCCGTGTCTCGAGCATGCATAATTCGGCATCATTTCAATCTTATGAGAAAGTAGGAAGCGACTGTTGTTGCGCCGTTCCCGGTCCCCGTTGGATGTTTGTGTGGCTTGCTGGGGAGGGAACGGAACACTGCGACCGCGCGGTGGCAGCTTGGTGGGCAGTCGGCGCTTCGGGCGCTATTTGAACCTCCGCCCCGTTCGAGCGGCGGCTCAGCACCCACCTAGCACCCAACCTCAACACACAATAAGTACATGTTACGGCCCTCCTCAATCGCAAGCAGGTGATTCCCAAAATCAGACCATTGAGAACTTGTTGTTCTTGTCATATACCATAACCCTCAGCAGCATACTCGCAGGATCGTCATCCGCATCTGGCTTAATTACCAGATTCTCCAACAGAACGAAGCCCATATGCTGGTACAGTGGAAATCCCATCGGACTTGCCTCAAGGCCTACGTCAATGCCCGCAGCTAGAGCCTGGTCGACACCCCATTGAGTGAGCGCAGTGCCCGCACCGCGCCGACGATAGTCTGGATGGGTTGCAAGCAGAACGAGGTAGTAATTCTGAGGATACATCTTCTCCCAATATTTCGAGTGGGTGTAGTTCAGCGCTTGCTGAAAGGCGATCATGCGCTTCGGATCGCCATCACGCCGCCTGAACTCCTTTCCTATGGCCCAGTTCTCCACAAAGGTGATGTAACCTGTCATTTCTCAGTATTGTGTTCATCGAGGTTCGCGCGTGCATGCCCACAGTGTAGCGCGTTGAACACGCCCTTACTCCACAGGCCTGTCAGAGCCTGTGTCAGCATACTCTTCCCATTTCTCTCCCATAATGCGAACGCGATTATTGTCGCTACTGCTTCTCCACGATCTTCGCGCTTTTCCTTTAATGACGCGACTTCTTCAGCCACGATGAGCGTGATTTTGGGATGGTAGAGATAATGTTTGAACACTTGCAACCAAAAGAATTGACTGTCATCAGGATACTGGCGCCTGTACCTCCAGATGAATTCGAACCCCGGGTCATCAGGTAGACTAGCGAGGGCAACCGTCGTGACACGAGGGACGTCGCGAAGTTCAGCAAGCCTGACCCTGAAGGACGGTGTTGGCGACATGCTGTTTGAAGCTGGACGGGGCGGACGGCCGCCTGAGCTGGGGCGAACCCCTCATTTTATCGCTAAACAAAAGCCGCGGTACAGTACGCGGTTAGATCCATAGGATCTTTCTGCTTCTCAGGCCTGCCACAGTATGTGTAGGTGGTAAGACGGAGCTGCAGCCACCTGATTGCAAGTCCGAGATGATAGGCTGATAAGGTCCACGGAGACTTGAGGAAGGGGTGACCGCGTGCACGGGCCATGCAGCCTGCCGCTCCCCATCGA